TGTTAAACTTTATTTTGTTAGTTCTGGATTGATATCACAGCCTTTCTACTCATCTGCATGGATAAGAGTTAGAAAAACAGGCAACAAATAATATATGAACTGTTGGGTGGAAATTATGTCAGGGCTGCTGGATACTGAGGAAACTTTCAGAATTGCAATATTTGGGAAAAAAATTCAGAGTTCTACCTCCATCTGTTTGAATTTATTTAAATTTGTAGGTAAGCTGTTACCTAGCACATTTCAAATGCAAGTGACTAACCTAGTCACATATACTTGCATTAAAGCCAGTGTATATCTAGTACAGTATAGATAATAATGTTTATGCAAGAGGAGAAATAATTGGTAGGATAGTTTCAGCTGACAGTATAACAGGTTTAACTGCTGGCATCTTTGTGTCTCCCGGTGTTTCAGTCCATTTCCCCATCGGAGAAAAATGCACACTTTTTCAGGTTCTAACTTTCCTGCAGGATTCTTCAACTACTTTTCATCTGACAGTTATCAAGCTCCTAGAATATGCCAGGCACTGATTTAAAAACTGGAGAAAGATAAATCAGACACCTTCTCCTCACTCATTCACTTAGGAGTCTTATTAACAGCAAGTAAAAGATGAACAGACTGAAAAATCAACAACTCTTCTAGGATCCATCAGAGGGGCGAGGGCACAAGGCAAACCACTGTCCTATGAGGTTGGAGAGTCAGACCGGTGAGCACAGGGAGCCAAGGCTTACGGAGCAGAGACTCACCAGCGGAAACTAATGTGGGAGCAGGGCCTGGGCAGGAAGACGCAGACTGTAATTGACGGATTTCAGGAGGCGCAGTGTGGACAAATCTGAGACTTAAAAACTTCAAGGGGACCAAATTATAGGCGGTCTCCATCACAGAGTGAGTTTAGCTCCAGAAGCTAGACCAGGTTCTCACAGTAAATATTGGGGGGAATCCCCTTCAGCTTCTGGCAGGGGGAGGGAGAAAGGAACCATTTTGAAACACACCAGGGCACTCTGTTCTTAGCAAGGCCTGTCCTCAGGGGAAACTAGTTAACCAGAGCCAAAGCTCAACACTTCACATATAACTGTATGTTAGAAAAACGATAAACAGCATAAGACACAGCTGATCTAATGGTAAAGCCGGTAGTGACAGGTAAGGGTCTGTTATTGAACAAAGCAAGAGATAAAGAAACTTTGGATTTGATATTTAGATTTTATAGCTAGTTTAAGAAGATTTGATTACTGGAATTCCTATAGGAAACATAACTTTGTTATTGCGAATTTTGCCTAAATTGCTTTTATAGACTTCTCAGTAGACTCTGATGCAATTGCTTTTCAAATGTAATTTCACCTTGGCCCCCTCCTTTAGTACCAAAACTCACATAAATAGACTATATTTTTAGAATCACTGACTTCCTTGTTTGTTGTTTTTTAATTCCATGATCACTCTTGAGGGATACTGCTAATTTGTTAATCTTTGAATTTAGATACTTTGGAAAATGAAGTGGCACCCTGCAGCTGTTAAAGACAGATTTTCCAAATGAACATACCTGGGGTTTCAGGATATTTATACTCTGTGCCTTAAGACTTAGATAGGTAGGTAGGATAATGCCTTACTTTTCTTTCCATGGCAGAGGGCGAGGGGAAGGGGAAGGATTGCTAGCTCAGTCGCTCTCCAGAGACAGTAAATTTTCAAAAACGTACCGCCATGGGAAAGAGTCTTCCTGATGGGGATGTCCAATTCTTCAACTCCTATAGGGTCTCTGCCACGGTGACAGAAGAGGAGGTGCCATTTAAGTGTATACCTTAACTCCTATGAGAGTTCTGCCAGCATGCTTTAGAGTACTTTTGGGGGCCCAGAAATCATCCTAGGGAGAATGATATTGCAAGGAGAAAGAGCCCTTGGGGTGCAGGAAATTGAAGAGGTTTGTTTATTTAAATCATAGGCTGTTAATAAAGGTGTCCATTTGTTTGTATAAAAAGAAATGGCTAGCAATTATGGAAATATATTTGAGAAAATAAATTGAGGACTCACATTGTGTTGTTAAGCTCTTTTTTCTTATATCTCTACAATAGTATATCTTCAGCCAGTGAGAGGTAGAATAATGTACTATGAGACAGTACTATATAGTGATTAAAACTCTGAGTTTTAAAATTAGATAGATTTGAATACAAATATCCTCCCTGCATCCTAACATGACGACGTGTCATTTGTCATTGCTAACCTCCAGTTCCTTATCTATAATGTGGGGCTCACCTGTGTCTTTCATGCATGTTATTGGGCACAGTAATTGAGAACATGCATATCAGGCAGTGAGCAGTGCAGTGCTTAGTCAACAGCAGGCACTAAGAATAGTACATGTGGTGTTGATCACTACTTTCCCTAGGCTGAGATTTTAAAGTATCGTGGAGACCATTTGACTATGTGGACTTACTTTTGGAATTTAAATATGTTTCTGTAAATTAGATGCAGATGAGAGAGCACTGTGATTTTTATATGGTTCAGTCGTTACATAGGAAAATCAATTCATAAAACAAAATTTGATTAGTTTGTATATAATACTCAAAATCATGATAAAAGTTGAAAGAATAACTCCGTTTATAACTACAGTGAGTTCGCATTTAAGAAAATAGGACTGTAAAATTCTTAAATTTTATTTTTGCTCTTTACCAAATAGAAATCTGTGTTGTAAATGACAATATAGTCCATATTTTCTAAGCTGAATTATTTTTATACATTAGGAAAGGAATGTTTCATTTATGATTAATATTTTACCCACTTGTTTTCCAAAACAGGACAGGTGAAGGTTAAGAGAACTAAAATTATGACTCAGTTCTACTTTTAATAATTATTATGATAAACTCAGAAAGACATGGGATATAGAATTCCAGGTTCATTATAATTTTAGTTATGAAAATTTACACACTAAAAGACTAGATAAAATAAATAATACAAAAGTGATAGTAACAGTAGCTTTTCTGTTGAGCTTCTTGGCAGCCAAGGCAAAAAGGAATAAAGGGAGACTGTAGTTTTCATAGATTAATATGTTGGTCAGGAGAAAATTCACTTTTTCCTTGCCATTAGATTATCTAGGTGAAGTTACCATATAGTTTCTGGCACTGAATTATATAGCTGAAGTTACCATGTGTTTAAATTATGTAAGTGAGGTTGGTATGTTGAATGATAACTATAGTTTTAAAGAAAGAGTAGTAATTTTTGACCTTTTAAACAACCCTAAATACAGTGGTCCCTCGGTTTTCTAATGTCATCCATTCCAGAAGACCGTTGGAGCTCTGAAACATTCAAAAACCAAGGGCTCTGAAACATTCAAAAACCAAGGGATCCGCTGCCGACAGCTTGGCCTCAGGGTCTTGCCCTCAGCGGAAGCCGTGGGGCATGTTCGACCTCTGAGGCGAGTTTGGAAACCGAAGCATTTCCTCCCGGGTTTACGGCGTTCGTAACCCCAAATGTTCGTCATCGGAGACGTTCAAAAACCGAGGTGCCACTGTGTAGTGAAGTTTGGCAATTAATTATAATGCATCGAAGGCCTGTCTGTTGTTCTAAGTGTAATGCAGGCCGGGTGTAAATGCTCCCCGGTGTCCTAACGGAATGGAACCCAGGTGGCTAAGGGGGCCTTCGGACCAGCTCTTTCCAGCCTCGGCTTCGCAGTGGTGCGTGTGGGAGCTGGAGGCAGGCTGTCGGTTGCAGTGGCAGCTGAAGTGTGGCGTTGGCGCCGTTGTCAGGAGGATGAAGTGGTTTTTCTTAATCACACGGACACTCTCAGCAAACAGCACGAGCTCCTTTGTGGGCTGCTTTCAGATGCCTCTTACAGTGGGATCCCAAGTGATTTAGGGTATGGCTGACATTCAAGAGGAGAAAACATTATACTTCTCCAACTTGCTTTGTAGGTAGTGGAAGCAAAGACTTTATATCAAACCTCTGTGAATTGCTGGTATAAATCAGGCACTTGATGAGTGAATTGTAAGTTGAATTTTTATTGTTGTGTTGATCTTCATGTAGAGAGAGGAAAACTAAATAAATACTCAGGCTAATTCATTTAAAGTAGCTCTTGAGTCCTTCGCTATAGATACATTATAATCCTTTGAAGTAAAATCTATAGTAGTTTTTCCTTTTGCCTGACAGTAAATGTAACTTTAACCTGAAGACATTATTCATATCTGCTTACTATTTTCTAATCTATAACAATAGGAACAGTGTCTGTTTTCTGCGTCCTCTAGGCTCTTACTGGAGGCTAGGCAGCCTCACGGTACAAAGAGTAGGATCTGGGCCCCGGCCAGACGTGATTATGGAACTTAGAGCGAAGTAGGCAGGTGCTGCGGTGCGCGTCCAGCTCGGTCCAGCTCAGCTCCGTTCCTGAAGGAGCACGTCTCGCCCTGCCTGGAGCACGGGAAGCGAGCGTCGCCCCTGTGATCGCCCCGCGGCTCCGTGTGGCCCTCACCTGTGCGGGCCTGAGACTGTCTGGGGCAGAGTGCGTGTCGTGCTCCCTACCAGGCCGCGCTTCCCCAGCGCTGTGGTTCCTGATGTTATTTCTGGGGGCTCGTTTTCACGTGCTCCCGTGTTCATCCCCAGATGTACACTTGCATCCTCTAACGTCAGGGAGTGTGTTTTCCCTGTCAGTCCACCAACAGGGAATCATACCTAAGTTGATTTTTAAACTTCTTAGGTTGCAGGAGTGGCAGCAGCAGTAAACAAGGCTTTGTCCAAACAGTGAAGCAGACTTCACCCGAGCAGTAATTACATTGCCTTGTAATCGTGTGCGGAATTACTTGTTTGTGTGTGTAATGACCTGCTTGTGCATTTTGAATAGAGTGTTTGACATTCATACAGTATAGGTACTTTTGAAATTTGGAGATTTGTTTTCTAAGATTAGTTTATTAATTTTTAGATATTAAAGTATATGAAGTGTATACTGTATTTAGATTTTGAAAGAGATTCTTTGTCTTTGTCATTTAAAGTCTAATTTACCTTGTTTTATTTTTTTTATTTTTTTTTAGGGAATATCTTGGTAAACAGCTCCAATCTGAGCAACCTCAGACTGCTGCTGCCCGGAGCTAAACTGTGTCTCCAGCCTTCCCATTTCACCTGTGACCGACCACCTGGAGTGTGAATCTCACTAGTTGAATGACTTTTTATTTTATTTGTAATTTCTTCTGTGTGTAGCTTTTCCCACTGCTGATTTCTGGTAAAAGTCTTTGTCCATTAACTTGTATAAAAGCAGACGCTTTCTGTACCTAAGGAAAGGATTACTGTTACATACATTGCTTGTGTTTCTATATTTATTGTTCTCTGGAAATGAATCTAGTTATTAAAGAGTTCTCACTCCAAATAGGGTTTTCTCTTTACTCAGTCCTTACTTGAACTTTCACAAAACCACCTATTGTTTCTTCTTTTAAAAGTTTCATTTTTTCAATTACAGTTTACACTTAATATTATTTTGTTTTTTGTTTCAGGTGTACTGCACAGTGGTTAGACAATCATACTGTACACAAGTGGCCTCCGCGGTATTTCCAGTGCCCGCCGGGCACCATACATACTTATTACAGTATTGCTGACTGCATTCCCTGTGCTGCGCTTTACATTCCCGTGGCTATTCTGCAGCTACCAGTCTGTACTTCTCAGCCCCTTCACCTTTTCACCTAGTCCCCCAACCCGCGTCCCCTCTGGTAGCCATTGGTTTCTTCTCTGTATCTGAGTCTGTTTCTGTTTTGTTCGTTCATCTATGTTGTTCTTTAGGCTCCACATAATAAGTAAAATCGTATGGTATTTATCTTTTGCTGCCTGACTTTTTCACTTAGCATTTTCAACATAGACATCGCATGGGAATAGTTAAAATGGTGGGTGCTTTGTTTTTGTCAAGAAGTTCATGTGATTTTTCTCAATGCTTTTACTTTATATTTGCCATGAAAATAGGTCATATGATCAAACCAATTTTTTTTCTTGACTGAAAGTTTTTAAATTTTTAAATGCTTAGACCTGTGGTAGACAGTTAGACACACATGAGCAAAGCAAGGACAATGGGCCAGACACAGAAGGTCACCAAGGTGGAAAGCCCCCAGTGCCTGGCAAGGGACAACTGTAGGGTGGGACCTCATCCCCAGGGTGACCTTTTCTACCCTAGCATATGGCTGGTCATTTGGTTTGGGCCCCTGAACGTTCCTCTTTAGAGATAACATCTCGGCTTCAGTTATATTTCAGCTCCAGGCCCAGAAAAGCAGCAAAGCCAGGCAAGAAATGCCATGGTTGACCTCAGGACAAGCTGCATTAGATAATGACCCCCTGCCCTGGTGCTGACCAACTGATCAGCAAAGGTCTAGACTCTGAGAGGACACACTTGGAAAGCTGCTGAATATTCTATTGAGATCTTCTCCTAGGACCTCCCCTAGAATCTCCACCTTTAAAACCCTCGGTACGGAGGACCCAGCCTGCTCTCCTTCCTGGGAGCATGCCCACGCCTTCCCCTCCATCACCTTTACCTTCCTCACTTCTAAGCTCCAATGGCCCTTCCTTTGCTTCTTTAACTTGTTTCATAAGCCCCATTTCTTCTACAAATTACTTCTACCTCTGTGATATTCTAAATTAAATGTTCTCTTGTAGTTTGAGTCTTGGCTCTGAATTCTTTCCTAGCTAGAACTCTACGAGGTTGCTGAACCCAGATCTGGTCTGACCCCATCAGCCTAATCCCTGGTGCTGTTCCTGCCACTGCCAACAGACCTAGATATTTTGCTTCCCAAAACATGGAAAAATACTAGACAGAACTATATTTAGGTTTTTAAGACACTGAATTTCTATAAGTTCTGGACAAAAGATCCAAGATGGCTGCAGATTAGATGGAAGCTACACTCACCTCCTCCCAGGACCAAACTGGAATGATAACTAAAGTACAGAAAAATCATCCTGAATAACACACTGAAGTGTAGCTGGAGAGAAGCCTTATAACCAAGGACTTACAACCAAGCCTGGCTCCCATGGGTGGAGCTGAATTTCTGGAGGGATAGGTCAGCTGTGGGGCATTCCCCCTGTGAAGTTGGGGGTCTAAACCCCAAGCCAGGCTCCCCGGCCCAGAGTACCAGAACTGGGAAAGGCTCCCAATAACATCTGGCTGGGAAAGGCAGCTGGGTTTGTGTCCACCAGGGAGAGACAGCTAGAAATGCAGGCCAACACACGAAATTTTGTTCCCAGACACTCACTCTGGGCCCCTATGGAGGGAGGGCAGAGCGGACTAGAGCTGCATGAAGAGAGTGCTTATAAATGTAATCAGGACTATATGGTAGAACAAATTTTATTAAGCATTTTTAAGCATCTTAGCCTAAACGAAGACCACAATGATTACAAAATGTTTACTCGACCTGTGTAAACACAGCTTGCGCAGAATTTTCTCTGTACTTATTTATGCATGTATTCCTCTTCATCAGACTTCTCAATTTGTCAGAAATAATTTCACTAGCCCTAGCAGGTTTGGCTCAGTGGTTAGAGCGTGGGCCTGAGGACTGAAGGGTCCCGGGTTCGATTCCAGCCAAGGGCATGTACCTTGGTTGCAGGCTCGACCCCTGGCCCCTGTTGGGGTGCATGCGGGAGGCAACCACTTGATGTGTCTCTCTCACATCAGTGTTTCTCTCTCCCACTCTCTCTGAAAAGCAATGGAAGATATCCTCAGGTGAAGATTAAAAAAATAATTATTTCACTAAAAGTTGAAATATATTAGAAAAAATTCGGTGCAGAATTTAGGTAACATTTTATTAGATTTTTGTTGTTGAGGGCACAGTAGGTTTTACAAAGTTTGACGGGAAACTCAACTAAATAAACTAATTTCTAAAATATCCATTAATCATTTATAATAAAATTAACCTTGACCACTTTTGCACAGTAATTTTAAGGGGGGGAAAAAAACCTTTGGGTTTTCAGATCTTGAGAGGAACATAGACGTTCACATTAAAGAGAGAAGGAAATTGTCTCTTCCTTTTTAGAAAACTCCTTTCCTTTTGGCCCTCATTTTAAAGATGTGTGAAAAGAGCCTTATCATTCACCAGAGAAGCTTGATCCCACACATTGCACCTGGCCAGTCACAAATATCGGATTTATAGAATATATGCAATTAGAAAGTTCTCATTTCCTTCCCCTTTAGCAACATTAGAGTAATTGTAGTTAATTTTCATATAATTAAAATTTAAATAATTTTTTGGAAAGCACAGAATCAAGTTTTGATGCACTTGGCTTATTTTATCATTGAAAATAGAGACTATCTGAGACTAAATCTTGGAACTAAGAGTTAGTATGTGTCAAGTCCAACCCTTGTGATGAAATCACTGTTCAGTTTGAAATTTCTCTCGTTTTACTGTACAAAGCGTCTTGTTCTGGTGAAGAGATGTCGCTCCCTTAACTCTCTGAACAAAGTTTCCAATGGCAAAGTCAGTTGGAAAGAATGAGCTGCAGGTAATGTTACCTCCACATTTATGCAAACCTTACACAGAGCCCACGCTTTTTCCACTCATAAAAGAGACGGTGTTGAATATTCTTCAAAAAAGAGAAGAAGCCCGGCCAGGCGTGGCTCAGTGGTTGAGCGTCGACCTAGGATCCAGGAGATCAGGGTTCGATTCCTGGTCAGGGCACTTGCCCGGGTTGCGGGCTCCATATCCAGGCGGGGTCATGTAGGAGGCAGCCGATCAATGACTCTCTCATCATTGATGTTTCTCTCTCTCTCCCTCTCCTTCTTTCTGAAATCAATAAAGATACATTTTTTAAAAAATTAAAAGAGAAGTGGAAGGGATACTGGCTCTAGAGGTTTTACTCTGCAGCAACCACCCATGCCTTTGTCTGTTCCCCTCTCAGAGAAGAAAGGGAAAGCCAGGATACTTGATTGAAAGAGCCAATGTACAAAGATTAGCGAATCACAATGTGACACAGGCAGAAATAAAATATTAGCAACAAGAGCATAAAGGCTGCAGGGGGGAGGAAATGGAATTATGCCCTTGTAAGGCTCTTACATATACATGAAGTAGGATAACCGTATAAAGTAGACTGTGATGAATTCAGGATGCATATTTAATGCCCTAGAGCAATCACTAAAACAATAAACAGACTCAAAGGTCTAGCTAAAGAGCCATTAATGAAGATAAGATGGAAAACTAAAAGTACATGATTAGCCCGAAAGAGGACAAGAGAAGGGGAACGCAGGAGAGAGGAGACACGCAGAAAATCAGTAGCAGGAGAGGAGGCCTAACCCGGCAACAACGACGGCGCTCATGGGAGCCTGGGGCTCTCACCACTATACACCCAGAGTTTGGCTGTTCAGCGGCCACCTCCAGGACATCAGTGCTTCCGGTTCCCGAGGTTTGGGGACAGGGGTGCTCTAGAGCCTAAGTGGCTCGTTTTTATCACCTTCCCCCACCTACCCTGTTGCAGGCTATTAGAGCGGAAAAAGCAGAAACCCAAGGCGGCTCCCACTCGCCCGCTGGGCCTCCAGTGCTCTCCACATGTCTGTATCCGTCTTCTCCTGTTCTCGCTGTCCCTCTGGGCTTACTCCCTTTGGTTTGTCCTTTGTCTGCCCTTTTTTATCCCCTGCAGGCCTTTGGGTGGGGCTGGGAAGGACGCAGACATGAATGTATTTAGTTCACCAGGTTTAACCTGAAGTCCCGAAGGTGGTGTTTTTCATCAAAGTTGATGTGTAAGGTCCATGTTAGAATAAGCCTGGATTAAACTTGGCAGTAAGGGGGCAGATGTGCCAGAGGGTGTGGACTCGGGAGCTGGGAGGGCTTCAGAGGCTGTTTGCCCAACATCTGGAGCTGTGACAGTTACAGTTAGTATGTGTAAAGGATTGAAAACGGCTCCCAATCATTATATGTGATTATTTTGTGCAGTTTAGAGACAGATGGGTTTCCTGCCTCTTCTTGGCACACCAGTGACAGGCAACCTGTTTTATCGCAAACAGCGTTGGATGGAATGTTTTCTTTCTTCATCAGTTTCTAGTTTCTAGGTATCTCTTCCGTTTAATATCATCTTACTGCCTGTCACTTTCATCTAAGTCTTATATGCCACCAACTCAAAATTGAGGCCTGGACCAGCTATGACTGTCCTCCTGGACACCACCACCCTCCCCCGGGCCGCCCGACATGCTGGTCCCTATGTTCTGATTCCCTTTAGGTCAGGCCCTGTCCTGGGTCCAGTCAGCTGTGCTGAACAGGAGGCCACCAAGGCAGCATCTGTGAACAGAGCCCCAGTCCAGACACCCAGACACTCCTTACAGTGAAGATCACAGGCACAAGTGCTCTCTCTAGAGAGCAAATCCTCAGGACCACATGGAACACACAAAAATGTCCTGTTTTAAAGTGGTGCAGTGACCACCCACCAACTCAAAACCTCACTTTTGTGATCACTTCTCCAGACAGTTCCTCCTGGTGTGTAGGCTGCCTGGGGAGGAGGGTCACAGCCACAGTGGCTAACACATCACATGGCACAGGTTTGCTTCACCTTTCTATGTCAAAGTGTGACCTAAAATGTGCAGCATTCAAAAAGATACATTTTAAATGACAAAAATAAAGAATTATTGTTTTAGAATAAATGTTTTAAAAGAAAGTAGAATCTTAAGGATAAAGATTTGTGTTACTTCAAAGGTGGAACGTGGCCCAAATCTACTAGAAAATGTTGGAGCCATATTTATGTATGAAAATCTCCTTTTACAAAATGCCATTTTAATAAAAATTGTTTTGAGACGAAGATGTCTGAGTGACTCTACATATTCAAATTATGCAGTTACTATGCAGTTTTTATTGG